GTTCCCTAATTGTATCAAGTGTGGCGGGGAGGTCACGACGGAGGGCCAAGACTTTATCTGCAAAGAAGCTCGCAAAAGCCTCGCAGCCAATGTCCAATTCTTTAATATTTTGTCTGCCCTGAGGCAAGGATGTTAAAGACCGATTACCCTAAATAGTTGGGCCGGGCGTGAGCTAGCAGACGCAATCGAGGCCGCATAGAAATCTCTCTTTGCGGCCTTGACTGCCATCACATAGGAATTCATAAGCGTCCTGTAGGATGTTCTGGACACTTCGTCACGAGCGCGACGCCACCGTCTCTCTAGCCGTCTCAGTTCCCGCTTCAGCGAGCGCAACTCCTGGGTATGCCAGGGTGCTCGCCTCACACGGGTGCGGAGAGGGCGCCTGGGAGCGATCTCGTCGATGGCTGAGGAGAGCCGGCTGTTCCAGTCCTCCACCAGCTCCTCCAACGAGCCGCCAGGGGGTCCAGGATCCCGCAGAGCCATTTGGAACCGCATAGGGTCCATTTGACTCTGCGGGCGAGCCAAAATCAGCTCGCCACCTAAACAGGGTCGGGGTGGGACATTCAGATGGGCCTTCAGGGCATGGTGATCCAACCATGGCACTGCCAAGGCAGTAATCCGGTCCACCGTCACTCCCGCTGCAAAGATCAAATCGAGCGTGTGTCCGGCCCGATGCGTGGGAGCCGAAATGAACTGAGAGAGTCCCAGTGCCGCCATGGACGACACCAGATCCATAGCCCGGCTGGAGGCCGCGTCCTCGGCATGGACGTTGAAATCACCCAAGACGTAAGGGGGGGGGGCGAGAAGAATGTATACTTTCATTTCTGGCCACTTCGCTGTTGCTTGTAGTTATCTTTCTTGGCTTGGACATATAACCTTGAGCCCCAGTCAGGACTAGTATCATCTTTCCCCTGGGAACTATAGGCCATTATTTTGGCGGGCCTCTAGCTTAGATGACTGGCCCTGGGCCATTAGGGTCCTGCTTGATTTGGGTATAATTGCTTGCTTCGTGCGTTCCCCCCCAGTTCTAACACAGAAACGTTAAGCGTCTGGATCCTATCAATGCCTCAATAAACTTTCTATTCTTCTGAATGACTGCTGTTGGGAACTGATTTCTCCAGGAGTCTGACAGGTGACCAGAACTGTACACAGTATCCCCCTATTCCTGTATCATTCTAGGATGACTGGCAGGGGCTTTCAAAAGCATTAGAAGAACAAGGGCCTTTCCTAAAGCTGTTCCATGAACAGCAGGTACCACTGAACTCGTCACTATTCCCTTCTCAGTCCAAGTCCGTTAATGGCAACCATTGGGGTTTGTTTGAGAGATTCAGTCTCTTCCACTATGTTATTCCCAGTAGATGTTAACTAAGCTTGTAATCATTTTGGTGTCTCTTTATTCCTACAGACAGAGTAAGCAAGGCAGAAGAGGAACCAGACCAGACAAACAGAAGCGGAGAAGAGGAAAAGTGGAGGAAGGAATCAGTTGCTACGGAAGGTGCGAATTTCCCTGAAGTTCCAGTCAAAGAAGAAAACAATGAAGGGAACGTCTCTCCATGTGCACCAATCTTACCTGGTAGATCAAAGCTGAGCAGGCATCAAAGAACGCAAAATCGGGAGAAACTGTTCCAATGGTCAGAGGGTAGGAAGAGCTTCAGTCACAGCTCAAGCCTCACTTTCCGTCGACGAAGCCATTCTGGGGTGAAACCTTTTAAGTGCTCAGAGTGTGGGAAGAATTTCAGTCACAACTCAACTCTCGCTTCCCATCAGAGAATCCACACTGGGGAGAAACCATACAAATGCACAGAATGCGGGAAGAGTTTCAGTCACAGTTCAAGCTTTAATTCCCATCAAAGGATCCACACAGGAGAGAAACCATATACTTGTTCGGAGTGTGGGATAAGCTTCAGTCATAGCTCAAGCCTTACAACCCATGAAAGACTCCACACAGCAGAGAAACCATACACGTGCTCTCAGTGTGGCAAAAGCTTCATTCACAGCTCGGGTCTTGCTTACCATCAGAGAACCCACACAGGGGAGAAACCGTATAAGTGTTCAGAGTGTGGGAAAAGCTTCAGTCGCAGCACAAACCTTACTTCCCATCAAAGAATCCACACAGGGGAAAAACCATACAAATGCTTAGAGTGTGGAAAGAGCTTCAAAGTGAGCTCAAACCTTACTTCTCATCAAAGAATTCACACGGGAGAGAAGCCGTATACGTGTGCTGAATGTGGAAAGAGCTTCAGACATAGCTCAAACTTCGCTTCCCATCAAAAAATCCACACAGGGGACAAACCTTATAAATGTTCAGAGTGTGGAATGGGCTTCAATCAGAGTGCAAGCCTTACTTCCCATATAAGAACACACACTGGGGAGAAACCATATAAATGCCTGGAGTGTGGAAAGAGCTTTAGTCATAGCACAAATCTTACTTCCCATCAAAGAATTCACACAGGAGAAAAACCCTATAAATGTTCCGTGTGTGGAATGAGCTTCCGCCAGAGTGCACGCCTAACTTCCCATCGAAGAATCCACACAGGAGAGAAACCATATAAATGCTCAGTGTGCGGAAGGAGTTTCAGTCAGAGTTCAAGTCTTACATCACATCAAGGAATCCACACTGGGGAGAAACCATATAAATGTTCAGTGTGTGGGAAGAGCTTCAGTCAGAGCTCAAGCCTGGCATCCCACCAAGGAATTCATACAGGAGAGAAACCGTATAAATGTTCAGAGTGTGGGATGAGCTTCCGTCAAAGTTCACGCCTTACCTCACACCAAAGAACCCACACAGGGGAAAAACCATACACCTGTTCAGAGTGTGGGAAGAGCTTCAGTCAAAGCTCAAACCTTATATCCCATCAAGGTATCCACATGGGAGAGAAACCTCATAAATGCTCGGAGTGTGGGAAGAGTTTCATTCGGAAGGAGTACCTTACTTCCCATCAAAGGATACACACTGGGGAGAAACCATATGCGTGCCCAGACTGTGGGAAGACCTTCCGTCAGAACTCAAGCCTTACTTCTCATCAGAGAACTCACACGGGGGAGAAACCATATAGCTGCTCGGAGTGTGGAAAGAACTTCAGTAAGAGGTCAAGCCTTACCTGCCATCAGAAAATCCACACAGGGTACAAACCCTATAAATGCCTGGAGTGTGGAAAGAGCTTTCTTTGGGAATCAAAACTGAAGAGACATCAAAGCAGTCACAGAGGGGAGAAACCACGTAAATCCTCAGAGCATGGGAAGCACGTCATTCAGGACACTCACCTTACTTCGCATCAGACTACCCACATAGAAGTTAAAACAGAGACCTGTACAAATGGTGACAATGAAGAAAAGCCTTCAGACATAACTCAGGTCTTGGAACCTTTGAAGAATCCACATAAGACAGAAATAATATAAACAGGTTGAGTGTGGAAAGCACTTAACCCATGGCTGTCATGGTGACAGAGGAAAGTTCGTTCTCCACTGTTCCTGCTGTTGGAACTGGTGGGGGGAACTTGGGGGCCCATTTTCTATATGTTTTGCTCACATCTGTTCCAAGATGAGTGCAGTATTGTTTACATATAAGAACTGTGTAACTTTCCCCCCACTGCTTTTCTGTCTGAATGTGGTAGATACTTTTCAAGTTGGGTAATTTGTGGATCTAGCCAGGATTCTTCCTGGCTACTTAAAGAGTCCTGAAGGGGACCGGCTGTATAGACAACAGACACTGTAAACATCCTCTTGAAAGAGGAACTTTTCCCTGAAGCACTTGAGGAAGCCATCGTGTTCACGCTCTGAAAGAAACCTTTCCTTTTTTTTCTTTTCTCTCTGCTGCACAATTTCCCAAATGATACAGGTTATTTAAGACTGTACTGTTCCGTATGTCCTTTGTGCTAGCCTAAGTTAATGCTATTTTATGGTGAGCTGTGCAACAGAGATCCTCATTTCAAAACTGCTGTTTGGTACTGCATTGTTTTATTGGCTGTTTCTGTTTTAAAAACTGCTGTTTTGTTCATGTTTTATTGATTTATGGTTTAGGGCATTTTAAATTGGCTGAGTTGTTGTGAGTTACTTTAATGAAGCAGGGTAGGAATACGTTAAATAAATAATAGGTGTGAATGTGTGAAAAGATCCCATTTCCTTTTTCCTTCCAAGATGGAAATGCTATCCAGTGACAGGGAAGAGAGCCACGGATGGGAATGGTCCACCAGAGGAGGGTCATTACACAAGAGGCTCCTTTTTGCCCTCAATCCTAATGAGTCCCCTGTGATCAGACAGACTGACACTCTGAGGAAAAGTCAGAGGCCCTCTCTGAGCAAAATGGAGCCCACTTGTCGCCTGGACTATGTCAGTCCTAGCAGACAGGGCAAATTCAGAGAAGGTATCCCAACTCCCGCAGAGCAGACGGTGTTACCTCAGTGCTGTGGCTCAGTGGTAGAGCATCTGCTTAGCATGCAGAAGGTCCCAGGTTCAATCTTTGGTATTGTCAGAATCCTGAATCAATCAGTTCCCAACAACGTTCATTCAGAGGAATAGAAGTTTATTGAGACATTGATAGTCTGCAGGTGTCTTAACTGTTTCGTGTTAGAACTGAGGGAAAAGCGCGCAAAACAAGCAGATATACATTATTCAAGGTGGTCCCTTGCTGGCTCATGGCCAATCAGACAGCAGGTTGCAGCCCGCCAAAGTAATGGGCTAACTTTCCCAGGAGAAAGAATACACCGGGCACTCAAGGTTATACGGCTTGGCTTATGAAGATAATGTTACCATCGAAGACACAGCAGAAACAAAAGTAAACATTCCACAATCAAACCCTACCCCCACCCCTGGTCTCATGATAGCCAGGACTTTCTAGAGGCCTAGCTGACAGGTAGCTCAAGTTAAAAGTTCTGGCAGCAGGTGATGCAAAAGATCTCTGATGGAGACATTGGAGAGCTGCTGCCAGTCTGAGTAGACAATACTGACTTGGATGGACCAAGCGTCTGATTCAGTATAAGGCAGTTTAATGGGTTCGTATGAGTCAAAACAATTCTGCCACAGCCATTTAACTTGACAGCCACTCTTGGAGGGAAGGAAATATGTTTTTTACTCCACTAGTAGTTAAATTGTGTAATTCATTGCCAGTGGTCATAATGATGGCCACAAGCACCGATAGCTTTGAAAGAGGATTAGGCAGATCCATGGAGAAGAGGTCCGTCAGTGGCTACTAGCCATGGTGACCAAAGGGAGTCAACAAAAGAAATACCTAAGTACAAAGGAAGACAGAGTGAAAATGGGAAAATGTTTATTTATTTATTTGTTTGTTGGATTTCTATACCGCCCTCCCAAAGGCTCAGGGCGGTTCACAGGCGGCAAAGCCGGAATCTAAAATACAATCTAAAATATACAATAAATCCAGCTGACACCCACCTTGGATTTTTTAAAGGAAGTGCAGAATTCAATGTAAGGTTTTATTGCAGCCATTGTGCCAATATTTATATTTTTGTTCAGTGTTCCCTTTGTTCTTTGCCCTTTTTTCTGAAGCTCTGCTTGCATTTTCCCTCCCGGCGCCCTTGAAGGGCTGAATTACTCTCTAAGCAGGGATTGTTGGGGGGGGCGGCAGTGTGGTGAACCAGCATCTTTTGGATGGGTCCCAATTCCAGAGGGGGGAACTGGGGGAATTCAGTGCCACTTTATACACGATTACCACCATCTTTCCATTTTTCTTTTACAAAATGAGCACTTTCTAGAAGTGGAAGACAACACAGTACCAAGAAAATGTCTAAGCCGTTACCTGCCAATCCTTCCTCTTCATTATAGCCCAGGAGAAACTCTTCTTCCAGCCCGGATATGAAATCAGGTTTGGCAATCAGAGGTCCTGTTAGTCAGTGAAAAATCCCACAAATTAGGCCTCCTCTGTGTGTCCATACATTCAAGAATTCCAAGCCAGATTGACTGTCCCTCCAGAAAGACAGAACAGGAAAGTAATGGGTTGGGATGGAGTACTGTATGGGGTCAAGACTCATCCCTCTACTGTTATCCTGAGGCTCTGTAGGAGCATGGATATGTGGCCAAGCGCACATGTACACCCAACTCTGGGCCTCTTGGAACCTAAGCCTCCATATGCACAGATTGCAGAGGGGTGCAGCATTTCCCCACAAAATATATATTATTAGTTTAAAAGGGTTGACTTTTATTAAGCATACAGCGATAGGCTGAAGGCTAGAGAGAGGAGAATTTTAAAGGCAGCTGGAGCTCAATATACTTAAAATTTCTGTTTGGGTAATTCTGAATTCAACAATCTTAGATATATAAAAGCCCTAACGTGTTGGCACTTTCCAGCTCTCCCATTGGCTGGGCTATGCGCTCCATCAGCCATTGACCCATCAACCACCACTCAAAAGTACTCACGTGCCATTGGCTGGGTGCTGGGTCCGCTCCTCTTCCCTGCACACTGCTGCCTCAGCCACTGTTCCCTGTCAGAATAAACTGCCAAAACAGCCTGACAAAGACGCTTCTACTTCTGCTTGACTCCTTGGGAAGGAAAGGGAAAGGAGATAGTAAGCCCCTCTGAGACTCCTTTAGGTAGTGAAGGGTGAGGTATAAATCCAATCTCTTCTCTTTTTCTGTGACAGGTTGGCTGCTGAGATGGGCCACCAGCTGTCAAAACATTCTCTTCTCCTCCTGCTGTGGGGCTAACTTTTCCCTCAGTGGCTGTTGCTAGGCAACCAAGCTTGGTTCTGGCAGTAAAAGGGCAAATACCTTGGTGGGGGACTCATTGGGGCCAATCCTGACTAGGGCTGCCAGCTCCAGGTTGGAAAATTCCTGGAGATTTTGTGGTGGAGTCTATGGAAGTCAGAGTTTGGGGAAGGGAGAGGTCTCAGCTTAATAGAATGCCATAGACTCCACTCTCCAAAGCAGTTATTTTCTCCTCGGGAACTATTGTTGCCAATCTCCAGGTGAGGGCTGGAGATCACTCAGAATTAAATCTGCTCTCCAAATGGCAGAGATCAGCTCCCCTGGAGAAAACAGCTACTTTGCAGGGTGGAATCTGTGTGATTATACTCTACTGAGGTCACTTCCCTCCTTCTTGGGTCCCCACTGCAAAGAAGGACTACTTTTCTTAGGTAGAGGCTGCAGGTGGGGGTGTATTATGTAGTGGGTTGCCGCATGGAGAGACGACAGACGACGACGTAGTGCATAGCATGCTTTATTGGTACACAACAAGAAGGGGGGAACAACGGCCCGGGGGCCAACTATATACATTCCATTGGGACACACCCCTGGTCACCATTGGTGGGTTTGAATCTCCCGCCATGGTTCCCATTGGCTCCCCAGTGGAGGGACTAGGAGGCTAGTCCCTATTGTTATCCCAGAGTCAAGCTCTGGCAATCCTGGCTGACCGCTGGCCCCCCCGGTGGCGGTCTGCATACACAACAGGGTGTGTGGAAAGCTGAAGTCAAAGGGGAAGATAAAGGTAGGTTGATGGTTGGCTGGAAGGAGCTAGGGTTGCCAACTCCAGGTTGGGAAATTCCTGGAGATTTGAGGGGTGGAGCCTGGAGAATGTGGGGTTTATGGAGGGGTGGAACCTCAGACAGGTACAATGCCATAGACTCCACCCTCCAAACAAGCCATTTCCTCCTGGGGAACTATCATTGCCAATCTCCAGGGGAGAGCTGGAGATCACTTAAAATTACAACTGCTCTTCCAATGGTGGAGATCAGTTCCCCTGGAGAAAATGGGAAGCTCTGTGTCATTATACCCTGCTGAAGTCACCACAGTAAATTGACGCTGAGTGCCCAAGGCCAGGGCACCCCCCCAGAGCCTCTTTCTCGAGCTCATTGTATTTATTTCTACAATGAGCCTTATTCCTAGTTACTAATAGTTACAAATTGCTGTTTACGATCCTTGCTATGTTGATTATGATCTGTTGCTGTATACAATGTATTCCGAATCTTATGACCATCTGTATGAATTGCTATACGCCAAAGAAGCCAACCACTGGACAGTATTATAATGCTTTGCAAATGCAGATAGAGCCAAAAAGTGACGCTAACATTGGCTGTGATCACACTAGCAGTTTGGGCCGACACAGCTACCCCTCCCCTCTGGATCAAATGAGCACAGTCACACAGCCACATCTGTCAGGCATTCCCCTGGCATACTCACCCCATCATAGGATGACTTGGAGCCTGGTTAAAAAGGCACCACATCACAAGTGGTATTTTTGGTTCCCCACTCACTCATTGAGCATGGCCAGATGTCTGAATGTGGCGGAGCGCATGCAAAACAGATTTGCAGTCTGAACCTGCAGATCTGTTCCCACTGCTAGGGAGTGGTTTTTTAAAATTGCCTATATGCACATGTGCATGCATGCACATGAGTGTGCATGAGCGCACATGCATTTTGGAGAATTCCAGGGCAACGCACTCTGTGGC